TCACCGCCATCAGCATTATAAACATCATCGTCGTCGTCACCATCATCATCATTCGCATCCGCATCAGCTTTATCGCCGGTATAACCCTCCTCAGCATCACCATCATCAACATTATCATCATCATCATCATTATCCGAAATTATAAGACTATGATTATAATGTTATATCGCATTGATTGAATGAAAAGAGAATAGGCATTATTAATGAATCGACTTAATGCAAAATATGCAAAAGACGAGTTGTAGAAGGGGGACAGGAAAAGGAGGTGAAAAGAAGCCAATTTTCTCATGCTTGCCCATCAAAAAGACAGTTTAGACAATCAACCGGGGGAAAAGGGACGAAAACTGCACTTTACACCACCTCTCCAATCTCAAGCCCAGTTGTCCTCCCAGAAAGTAACAAGATTCCCACGCTACCTGCGAAGAAAAGTCTGCCATAGTTTCGTTCACTTGAAAAAATGTTTGTCAGCCAACATGCAACCGTTGTCATGGCTACGCAAAGCGCAATAAGACACAAATAGCCAACCGGGCGTGAGCACATCCCAAAGTGGTTGTTATCGCAGGCGCATAGACTGAAAACAGTCTCCAGCCTGCAAATCCGGCTCAAACCGAGGGGGTATTTGGGTTGGCGTACAGGTTTGTCGGCCAATTTGGGGAAGAGGAGACCTGAAAATGTTTAAATGCTTATCTCGAGAGGGAAAGAGTTAAGATGCCTTATGAAGGCGTTGCCTCTCGGCCAACAATTCTGATTATTTCCTACACCCGAGAGGCTTTGATCCGATAAGGTCAAACTGTAGCCATTTAATGAGGATCGAGTAGACACTTGCCTGCATGCAAGCACGTGTGCGATGTTTGATTACTTGAAGAACTCGATGATCCCGTACTTTGCTCGCTCTACTTCAGGACTAGAAGATGAAAATCATAGTGTATGTGCGTATTTGTGTGTGTGTGTCTGTGGGTGTGTGTGTGTGTGTCTGTGTAGAGAGAGAGAGAGATAACACAGTTTAGTAGTGTCTGCTTGTGTAGAGTGCAGCTCATAAATCCTGGAGTGGCCAATCCACTCGTTAGAAAGGTTATTATGTTTATATTCACTTGAAGGAATACACCTCCCTTAGTAACAATGAAAGAGCACAGCAGCCAGAAGTGGGAATCCTCTTGAAAATGAATACTACTTAATACTTGCCTCTTTCGTCGGAGAACAACTTTACTTTGACCGGTTGGGAGGACATGATGTACGGCTGTAGATGCCTGATCCGTTGGCACTTTTCGTCTACTACTCACGCCTCGTTGGTAGTAGGCTGTGAAATTACAGCAAACACACTTCTCGTGCCGATGAGTGTTGCCATAGAAATCGCACGCCCTACTTTGTGTCGGCCTCTTCTGAACCATTTTATACGAGCCTGTGGTGTAAAGCTAGCGGTGCCTGTGCAGTTGGAAAATTTAATTCGCTACTCATATCCCGTTAGTAGTCGATTGGGAATTTACGGCAAACACACTTCTCGTATCGATGCGTTTTGCTTTGCTTTGCTGTGCATCACTTTCTTCTCTACAGACAGACTAGCATACACGTTTGTTCGACAGAAGAGCCTGAGCAGACTCAGACCGGATGAAAATCATAGTTCAGGTGGGTCGAGAAGGCGTGTCTAGGATACAAAGTGAAGTTTAGTTCGTCAATCACTTTATAGCCTACTTCTCAGTCGTGGAAACTTCATACGACCTAGTCTGGCGTCTGTGGATTTCGGAAGACGCAACATCCCACAATCACCGATTGTCTTGGTGGTGATGGGGGTGCATTGGGGCAGAGTAAAAGTTCTAAATGGAATCTTAGACGATTCGTTGTCCAGCCTCTTTTGATGCAAAGCAAGTCTTTAACTAAACGTCCTGCCCGAGAGTTTGGGGATGGCAAAGTATGTCGAGCAAATGGGAGTAAAAACAGTCACGAATAGGCGCTCTCAGTCGAGAGTACAGCAGAATAACGCTTTTTATCTACTCACCCAGTCCCGGGTAATGAAATGGGATGAGAGACTTTTGTGCAATGTTGGATGTATACGAAAATTCACTATTTTGCATCCAATATGCTTTTAATGAATAAAAGAGCATATTTGTGCTGTGTATAGGTTAATATCGAAAAATCATATATTTGTTGCTGGGACTAATAAAAGCACTTATAAAGCCACATTTGTAAGCTTAATTCGGAAGTGAAAAGTCTTTTTTTTTATAAAGAAGTTGCCAAGACAAGTTGAAACGAAGAAGAGTGTCTCAACATCAACTTGGCTCAATTTTCCGTCGACAGAAGGATGGTAATGGCCCGCCAATGTTCGAGCGAGACGAGGCGCTCCCGAAACACCCTCACAACCATCCGCTTGACCAGAAGACATCAACTGCCGTTCTTCAGCCCACCTTAACCATGGTTACACGCAGATTGGTAAAT